ATCCCTCTTCATTGGGCCCCTGTTCTGTGCCCCCTCCCCATCCTTGGACACCCAGCGGGCTTTTAGAAACCACCTTCCCATGGTTTCAAATAGGCCCCACTACACTGCCCGTGACAGTCGTTGGAGCTCCCTTCTCGCTTGCCTGGAAGCGTGATCTCAGCGGTATTTGAAGCGTTCTAAGTAGTTAGCACCTAGTTAAACGTTTTGTTCTTGTCCAAGTTACTGTCTGTTAAGTACCGGTTAGATAAGTTGTTCCGGTTGGGGCTCTCCTGTTGTTTTCCTTTCCTTTCCTGCCCGGCCCATGGAGCATGCCAGGGTCTCACGGTTTTAAGCCCTGCGCTGACTGTTCCAAGCCTATGCCCTGTGGTGACCTGCACAATTTGTGCCTGAAGTGCTTGGGCGAGGCCCATGTCCCAGCTAACTGTAGAATCTGCCGCAGTTTTAAGCCCAGGACTTGCACTTGAAGATACTCCTGATGGAGTCGGCGCTTTGCCCAGCACCGTCTTTGGACTTGGCACCAGAGTCCCGCAACGCACTACCTTTGGTGCGGGAGTCACCAGGGTCTTCGAGGGCCTCATCAGTGTCGAGGTGCCTTACGATGCAGCACCACTCACAGTTGCTGGTGCAGTGCAAGAAGAGGAGAGTTAGAGAGTGGCAGGTCCCTCCCCCATCATGCGCCCGAGGTGTGCCCCCAGTCGGGGGCGAGATCGGCTACTCCTGGGTCAGTGTAGCCAGTCGAGCGCGATCAAAAGCCACGGTGCAGAGCAAGAGCTGGTTCAGGTTGAACGGCCTTCTCCTCCGGATATGTTTGAGGCGGCACGGGAACTGATCAAGTTGATGTCTGACTCGCCCTCTCCTCCTCCGGGGTGCTAGGTTCAGTCTTGGGCCTGGGCCTCGTCATTGGCACTGGATCCAGGTAGGCCCACACCGCCCTCGGCACTGGCGCCCCATACGGTGCAGCGTTCCCCGGCTCTCATGTCAGCGCTGGCACCGACAGGCCCCTCGGCACCGGTGGCTTCACTCTCTCAGGAGTCCAGAGAGAGCTCGGCATCGAGCACGGTCATCCTGGCGGCCC